CGGCGACGAGTCGATTTCACCACCAGGCTCCAAAATACGCTTTCCGCCTGCGCGGATCCGCCCGTGAATCCGCAAGTATAAACGCCCCACAATGCTGCAATCAAACGGGGGTGCGGAGAGGCTTGCCACGCCCCGCGTTTCTTAAGTTGTCGGTTTTATTATTGGCGATTTTCATCGCATGTTTTCGAACCTACTTTAACGGCTTCATCTTTAGACCGGCGGGCACTGTGAATATCTTATTCGCTCGAAAAGGCTGGCGAGTGAACCTGCCGTCACATCTTTCTGCTCTATAGCCTCTAAGTGCCGTCGAGTTCGCTGGACTCGCCCATAGGCCCATAGTATACGGAACATGAGGATAATGTTACCATCCCCTCTTGACGTTCAGCGACGGAGAACTAGGCGCGCTGGCGGGTGTCCAGGCTTGGCCCAGACAGCGGCACGAGCCCCTCGAAGTTCGGCAACGGGCCGAACGGTTCAACCGCGGTGCCCCCCGCCTCCCTCTCAAGTTTGACCGTGGAGGCGGCCAACGCGTGGTCGACACAAGAGTGGCCAAGAATAGCGTCCGTCGCCTGCGTCACGCCTGACGTTACGAAAGAGAGGTGCTCGCGGCGGCTTAGGCACCGAACCCTGCGTTCGGCCCACTTTCCTGTAGTACAAACACCGGCCCGCCTCGAGCTTAGATTCGGGGGTAGACGATCGGAGACGAAAGAAACTGGAACGCACGAACTCAGTTGGCTCGCTCACGTTTTTTACTTGGGCGGCAACGCGCAAAAATAGGGTGACGACGAGCGGGGGTGGAGAGGGGGGCGAATGAAAGTTTCCTCTAAAAGACAAAATAGTTTCTCCCATTGTCTTCCAGGTGATACGCTTATACCAAAAGTGAGTCAAACACGTCACCACGCTTTGATCTTTTTTTTTTTTTTTTTTTTCAATTTACGATTTCACGTTTTCAAAGGGCAGTTGTCACACTCTGGAAACCTTCCGCACGCCGGCTCGAACCCCTAATCGTTTGTCTCTCTTTGACCATTCAAGCCAATAGAAAGCCCCAGTGGCGAAATGTTTCCATACCTTATGCCAGCCTGAAATCATACCCATTATAGCGTATTCTCGATCGACCTTCAATTCGCTAAACATTTTAAATGAAGAGCAATGATTGGTGTACTGAGTGGATTGTTGAATAGTATACCTGCAGTGCTTCGAAGGGTTGGTGAGAGTGTCAACGCACTTTACTTCTGCTGATTCACGTAGGAATGTAAGGTCTCTAATCAGTGTCCAAGTGCAGCTCGCTTTCTATGTACCAAACTTGTAGTCTGGGCCTTACGATTCGTTAATGCCTCCTGCAGATCCAGGCGATTGAATTCCAGCGGAGGACTAGACGCACGGGGATTTCCTTTTTTCGTGGGGTGTAGCATATCCTCTACCATGTCTTTCCTTGTGGTCAGTGTTAACTCATATTGGCTCTATTTATAGCTCATTCCTTTGAAACCTGTAGCGATTTTGTCATTAAGAGCTTCAAAGCGAATAAGGCGGGACATGTACTGACCGCGTTCATCTCTTGGTGATTTGATTTTGACTCTTTTTAGCAAGTGGTGCTGCAATATCATTGGCTGTCCAGCGATAAGATGACTGCTGCCCACGCCTTTCTGACTTGTCTCAGCGATCCGTGTTAACGTGATACATTGTTACGCACAATGGAGACTTCAATCAGCCACTGACAATTTAGGAAACACACAGTGTGGCTTGTTATCAGCTGATACCGCAACATCTTCTTGGCAGCGGAGCAATGATAAGATACACAGGGCTCGCCATGTAAGGCATTTCCTTAAGTTGTCGTGACCTTAAGAATTTTGCTATTGTTTTTCTTTTGGTACGGCATACGGTTTCGCTCACTAATCTCTATGACGATAGGCTGGATAGCTGATCGCCCCTCCGCAAATGCGGCCACCGGTCGGCCATCTTACGTCACCTACATGGAGCATTGTCAAGCCTTGAAAGCTCCCATCTGTAGAGTGCATTTTTTGCTCAGTCACCGTTGTTTGTCAAAGTAGTTTTGTCAAATCCTATTTAAACTGTCGAACAGTAACCTTTCGGGATCCTCAGAAAGTTTCATAAAATCATAGCACCTCAGGCTCGAGCAAAACTAAATTGAGTCGACCACAAGCATAGCCAGTGAGCTTTTTAGGCCTGACCACGCTCAAGGTTATGCCCTCAAGGTCATGTACCGCCCGTGGCTGAAGTGCAAGGTCGTGTAACAAAGTGACCTAACGCCCGTGGCTAAAGTGCAAAATCGTGTAACCAAGGTTACGCAAGTGCCGGTTGTGTATGGTCCGTTCGCGTAAGTGCCTGTAGCGTAAGATCGTAAGCGTCGGTATAGCTAAAGCTGACGTGACCTGTTGACGTCGTCCCCGACGTCGTCCTAGAGGTTGTTTTAGAGCTCGTCCTAGAAGTCGCCCTAGACGTCGTTCCTGACGTCGTCCTCTAGAGCGTCATCCTCGACGTCGTCCTAGACGCCATCCTTGACGTCGTTCTTGAGGTCGTCTTAGAGGTCGTCCAAAACTTCGTCCTAGAGGTCGTTCTAGAGGACGACCTCCAAGACGACTTCAAGGACGTAAGCTGCTTAAGAGTAAGCTCCCTCTCTAGGATGACCTCTAGGAGCTCCCTCAGAGGTCGTCCTATAGGATGACCTCTGGGGCTCCCTCTCTAGGATGACCTCTTAAGGAGCTCGGTGTGCCTTTAAGTCCTAGAGGTCGGCCTCGACGCCGTCCTTGACATCGTCCTTAAGGTTGCCCTCGATGTCGCCCTAGACGCCGTCCTTCATGTCGCCCTCGATCTGCTCACGGCATATACAACCATTTCATCACTGTACCGTTTCCTTTCCTAATCGTTTTCACTAACGATGTGGCTGTAAAGCTGCCGTATTTCATCAAGTTTCGTCGAATGACCGTGCGTGTAATTGTTCGACAGTTTACATAAAGTTTCACGAAACTACTTCGACGAACGATGATGATTGAGCACAAAATGTGCTCTGCAGGTGGTGGCTTTCCAGGCTTGGCAACGCTCCATGCAGGTAACGTAAGATGGCCGACCGGTGGCCGCAATCGCGCAATGGTCTCAAAGCGGCGGTCAGCGATCCAGCAAATCGTCATAGAGATCAGTGGTTTCGCTCTAAAAGGCCGGCGCGTGTCAAATTCTGCGCTCGTCGATGAGTCATCGCCTCTGGTTCTGAGACGGGTGCCGCTTCGGACGCGCGGAACAAGTTATTTACGGGGCCACGCCCACGTGTAGCTTCCACATCAGTGCACTCTATTTTAGATTTACGAAGCTGGGGGGGCGAACGAGCCGATGTTTCCCTAAACTGCCCCGCCGCTCAAAATTGTCTTACCCAATGAGGACAACCGCGCAGTGTGGCGTTTTGCCTGTCTTCGTCCTATTATTTAAGGGTATTTTCATTTTATTTTGACGTGGGGTGGGGAACGGGCTTAAAATAGACGGGGCAACAGCCTTTCGTTTTATACTTAATTATTCATTTCGACTTTTTTATTTCTTTTATTTGAGAGAGGTATCTTTTCTTTTCTTTATTTCCTGAACGATAAATACAAAAGGTTCCTCTTTAGTAAGAATGCGCAGCAACATAGAAATTACGAAGGAATGATTCATAGTAGGGCAACGTAGCCCTTCGTTTTATAGGTGTTTAAATTGACGGGATAAGCACATGCTCAGAACTAGCTCACATTTATCTCCTGCCAAGAACAAACACCCTGATTAGGAAGTGCGCACGATTTTGCCCTTCAGCGCACGTTTCATACAATCGGGATCGTTCTTCTGGGTGGGCGATAAATAGAAGCATAATTACCGAAAACATAAAAAGAACATCTCAAAGCGTTGCACGTTTTTGTTTTATGCTTTGTGGTTCATTCTTTGTTTTCCTTGTCGACTGGTGCCGCAACCTCAGAAATTGCCACACCTTCTTTTTCAAAGGTTGTCATTGAGCAGAGACTTCCGAACACGCACTGCGAACACGACCGACAATATGGTGTCCCGTTTTCGAGCCACTGATCTTTCAGCCGCCCCGCGGCCCTCCAGAACTCGTATAATTAAAATGATGCTGATAATAAGATGATGATGGTGATGATGATAACGGTGATGATGGTGAAACAACCAATATAACTACGCCCAGTAAACTTGTGAGCACCAACAGAGACGGACACGAAGAAAGGGGCTCGCGAACAAGCATTTGTTCGTGTCCCTTTCTTCGTGTTCGTCTCTGTTTGTGCTTACAAGTTTGTTCAGCGTCATGCACCAACTAGCCCACCCAAAATCTCGTATCCGATAGGGCAATAAAGAGCGAGTAAGAAATGTTGCAATGTATATAACAAGACTAAAGGTTTGTGTATGGCTGCCGACGTATGGTCACAATTCAGAATATAAGAAGGACACGGTATAAATAAATACTAAAGCTCGAATGACGCCTCGTGCGTTGGGCGGCGAGTGAACCTGCAGTGTCTCGAACGCTGTCGGTGCACGGTGTACGAGCTCCGCGCGAGTCAAAACTTGCGACTCGCGGGGAAGCGGAGAAGCAGAGCGGAATCAAACGCTGACGACGCCACGAGTTGCATTAACGGCGGATCGTTTCGCTCTCCCCGCTGCCATAATTAGGGCGATTACAAGCGAGGCGTTATCGCGGAGGCCGCCGCTCTGTGAATGAGTGCAGAGGCAATTTCAACGGAGCCTCCTCAAATCGAATCAAAACGACTGGCCATGAATGATTTCGCGTGGGATCAAATGATGCCAAATCGTCGAAACAAATTAGCTGTAGTGTCGGCGATTGAAAATGAATAAGAAAAGCGTTTTCACCTTTTTTCTTTTTTTAGTTTTGTAGACATTTAGGTTCGTAGATTGACCATTCGGAATACGAGGAACAGTGAAACAGAAAGAGAGAGAGAGAAAGCAAAGGTCTATATGCATCGAAGCTACAAAGTGCCCGTCCCCTTCTGGTGCAGCCGGCGGCAAGCAGTCCGCGGACTGGGTCCCTGGTCCCGGTAGCGGCGGCGGTGGCGGCGGCGCCCTCGGCGTGGGCGGTGTGGGGCCCGGTCACACCGTGCGGAGACCCGTGGCACGGCGTCAGCAATCCCTTTCGACGGACCACGAGCTGGCGCTGCAGTGCTCGCTCGTCGAACTCGAGGTGGGTCTCCTCGCCGTTCTTCCCCACCGCCAGCCAACACCAGGCTTGGTCTTGGAACCAGCAGCGGCAGCAGCAGCAGCATCTGCCGGACATGTGCTGCGTGACTTGTAAACGGGACGGCCGGAAGTGGCCGAGCCACGGCCGTCGACATTTTTGCGAAGTGCATCCACGTCGAACAGCTGGGCCACAGCTCTCTAATAAACGACTTTTTTAATAATAAAAAAAACTTACGTAAAAAAAAAAAGACGGTATGACCACTTTCCCGCCAGAACAACGCGAGGCTATACGTGTTCACAAATAATCATTCGTTGAATGTAAATTTAAGGGCACTTGGAGCACCATCTATTTTTACAGCAGCCGTACCGAATACAATGTTGGAAACGGAAACTTGGCCGCACCTCTGTGATCGTTGACTCCGAGATTTGCCCGCCTGAATAAAACTCGGAAAAAAGGGGGGAGGGGGGGGGGATAATAGGATAACATACTCAGTTATTCAAAATCCTCCCGGTATATAACCGATAGGAGCAAATGTTATATCGCAACCTAAGAATTTATCGTAGGTACTGTTTACCTGAAGGATAGACCTCACCGCTCATTCACACTGGAAGCGGATCCGCGTTCCCAAAGCGGTTGTGAATGCGGTTGTATAAAGGTCCAGTACAATTGCACGCGCACTTGATGTCATCGAGTGCGCATGCAATTGTACTGGATCCTTAAGCCTAGTTCACATGCAGCGGTTTTGGCCCTAGAGCGGCGCGATTTCTGCCGTCGCGGCGCTCTCCAGCACCAGCAATTCAGTGGCACGAGCACCGCGACGGCAGAAATCGCGCCGCTTTAGGGCCAAAATCGCTGCATGTGAAACCCGCTTTATACAACCGCCTTCGCAACCGCTTTGCGAACGCGGATCCGCTTCCAGTGTGAATGTTTCGTTTACACTGCCCCGTTTTCTAACGTTACGTTACGAAAAGTCACCGGAAAATCTGTGCTTCGTATTAAGCGTGGCTACCAATTCAAGGAGATAGCCTGGCACGCGACATTGGAGACACGAATGTTTCTGTGAGGACGAGCTACGGTGAATTACCGTGGCAACCAAGGACACAAGACTCGTCTTAACGTAACGTAAGGAGTTCAGCTCGGTTCCACTTATCGCACCGCACCGTTTTCTTACGTTACGTCTAAGTCACCGAAACGTTCGTGTCTCGATTGTCGCGTGCCAGGCTATCTCCTTGATTTGGCAGTCACGCTTAATACGAAGCACAGATTTTCCGGTGACTTTTCGTAACGTAACGTAAGATAACGGGCCAGTGTGAAGCAGCCTTTAATGTCCCAGACCTGAAGTCAGATGAAATGCTGCATGGAACTTGTGAACGCAAAGCAGCCTTTGTTATCAATTTGTGTTCAACTCCCGATCTAGATCATACAGTTCAAAATTATACAAGCGTCCAGGTCATTAATAGATCAGTCCTTTATCTCATTTTATAGAGCAAAAGTGTTACACTTCGACCTAATAAACCACAATCGCTTACTGAATTTTCACACCATATTATTGTTAGCATGATGATGACGCCGTTTGGAAAAGTACCCAGGTTTGTTTAATTCTGGGGTTATTTTAACGCGACGGGTGACTCTGATATGCTCGATGAACTAGAAAACTGCTTTGGGCGGTTTGAGAAACTAGGTAGTGATGACTCAGCAAGTGTAAATGACCTCTGACTGAGACTTAAAGCAATGAGGTGGTAAATATGTGCTTTATTATATACTATTGTAATAAAATTAAAATCGATGGCATATCGTGCTTGGATTACGAAAAAAAGTTATTATTTTAAAGTAAAAGTGAGGATACTTAAAAAAAGGTACTGCCAGAAACCTAGTTCGGTGATATGGAATAATTTCTCAAGTCTGAACTGAGGTGTTTGATAAAGGATTCGAAATACCAGTTTCATAATGATATTATTCAAACTTTTATCCGTGAATCACTTAAGAAGTTTTGCTAGCCTTTGGCGTTCCTCTCCAATTCCAGAAACTTGGTTTTATTTTTATAGCTAGATACGCTAGATGAAAATCAAAACATTAGTAATTACACGCATGAAATTGCTAACAATTTTATTGATTTCTTTGCGGGTGTTTCCACTAAGAATGATGAACAATTAGTAAAGTTTGATCGACCTTCTAAGTTCCCGGAAGCTTATAACCGCCATCTGTCACTTGATGGGACATTTTCTTTTTTACTTGACCTAAAGTCATCAAACTTTAGGAGCCCACATACAATTCCCACCTTCTTTTCAAGGAAAATGCGGAATAAACAAACTTCTACTACTCATTAAAATAAAAAAAAAACTTTTTTTTTTTTTTTTTGTGGAGTATGGTTTCTCGAGAATGCAATAGTGAGCGCTGGAAACTATAATTCTGTCTCGAACTACAGGCTTCATCGCACTAACTTCAACGGCGAAAAAGAAAAAAGAAAAAAAGAACAGGTCCAGCTGGCGAGTACCGGTGCGGCTTTTGCTAGAGACATAGAGACAGCTAACGGATCTCGCAACTAATAAAAATCTTAAACGATTTCTGCAAAATAACTTATCGAAAAAGGAAGACACGCTATTGTTACACTTCTAGAAGACACTCCATGCTGTTAATCGCAGAAAAATGTCGATGAATTCAAATCATTCTTAGAAAATATAAACGGGTTCTTTGACGGATTGAGACTTTCTTTAATAATCGTCGGCCCTTTGTGAGAATCGAAAAGAATAGGTTTGAGTTATGGTGCCTAGGTAATACAATAACCTCGGACGTAACCCAGACATCACGAGTTAGTTTCTAAAGCTAATAACAATATTAATAAAAACAGGAATACATTATGCGCTCGCCTATACGTGCCCCGTCGCAAATAAAAACAAAAAGAAAATGGTACACTAGATGTTAATAAGACCTTTGATATAATACACCTGTGAGGTATAGAATCCGAATGCGAAATATATCGTATTAAGTTTGGAACAATTGAAACGACTTGCGTTGTGTTTTTTTTCTTTCTTGCTACCGAGGACGGGATTTTGAATACCACCACCTTAGCAGAGCACAAACCTTGCCTTCAAACATAAAAAATAACAAATCATTGTTTTCTTCTTTTTTTTTAAAAAAATGACTTGACACTTCTACATAGAAGCGAAATTGGTTTGATGCAAATTGTTTTTTTTTTCTTCAGCAGTTAAGTTGAAACGAGTTTTTAGCACATGTCGTAAGAAACTTCGGAAGCTGTGAAAAGCTTACTTCCCTCATCTCAGACATTTCTGTCATAGAAGAGCCTAACGTTGTTGTTTTACCAAATTGCATTCAATTTATCGTACTAATATTTTTATTTATTTGCTCGTGCTTTCGTTGTCCACTCCTATCATGATCTTGTGCTTAACCCATAGGGTTCATAATATTAATAAATAATAGCACATTGTCGTGCTTTATAAACGAGACCTTGGCTAATATTGAAGAGAAAAAAAAACACGATTGGAATAACCAAAAACTACAGGAAGATCCATTGGTGGATTCTTAGAGAATGCTTTAGCATGATCCTTGGAAACGTCACACACGTGCCCCTTTGGAAAACGCTAACGACGACCCCCTTCACTTTTCCCTTTTATATTTTTCTTTTTCTGCCTCTTTTTTGCCTCGTAACAGGGTCAGTTTTAGCATTTCCCAAAGGGGAACGTTTGTGACGTTTCCCAAGGGTAATGTTAACAGATACACTGAAAATCCACCAATGAATCTTCCTCTAATTTTTTCACCCCTTTTCTGTACTCTGCTTGTCAGAGTACGTCGACGCCCTTGGATACGGTCATCCATTTCACCCGTGGAAAGAACCACATCCATACCACGTCCATACCGCTTGGAGAAGGAACCCCATTTATATTACTCGTGGAGGTAACCGCATCCATAGCTTTAATTACACACACATCACAGCCCACGTACCGCTACTACGGAAACCCAGAGCGAAGAACAACCGGCGACGGCAGAGCGGCAACTGAGCACGCCCGCATCCCACCGCGCCGCGGCACAACACCTCACAAAGCCGTAGTGCTGAATGAGATGGCGTGATCAGAGAAGGCCAACGCTGGGCACAGATTGGACACGACGATTGCGCCAACGTTTGGCTCAAACTTGACTCGAAGCCGAACGCTGACGCAGCATTCGTTTCCGATCTGTATCCAGCGTTGGCCTTCTTTGATGACGCCATATCATTCAGCACTACGGCTAGGTTATCAAGGAGGTGTTGCGCGGCGCCTCCTCCTATCTGGCTGCGCGCCAGCTGTGCGCGTGACTTTGACAAAAACGGAAGGGCTCGTTTTGACAAAAACCGAGCGGTGTCTGTCAGTGTGTCAGCGCCGGAGAGAGAGGGAAAGGTTAACGCGTGCTGACGTCAGTGCTTTGGACCAATGGGAGGGTCGCACGCGTCACCCTCTTTCCCTCCTTCTTCCTCTCTCCCCGGTGTTAACAAATGAAAGACACCACCTGTTTTTTGTCAAAACGAGCGTTCAAATGCTAATGCATTACAATTAATACTGAGAGGCGCGCTGAGAATGATTTCACTCAACTCCGTGTAATTTATGTATTTATTATGGTCTCAGGGTCAGATTATTAAACTGAGGGCTAGTAGGCGAGAAAAAGCGCTGTAAAAACGATTGATTTGGCTAAGAAATTAATGATTATTAATATAACGCTTCTAAATATTTCACAAAATGTTTAGTTGTCGCAATAGGTTGGAAACACGTTTTTATTCGCAGTAAGCTTTGGAGACAAAAAGGTTAAAAAATAATTTCACCTTTCCATTGAAACAAGCATGGCATATATGCAGAGCGTGGTGGAGAAAAGAGATATGTCAATCGGTTTCTGGTGAATTGATTTTTGAGACTATAATTGTTGTAATACATATTATAAAAACACAGAATAAATTAAGCACCGAATGGTAGGAAAGACTAAATAAGCAATTCCAGTGATGTGAAATTCGAGCCGAG